CTTGAACGCGTGTGTGTGCTAAATATCGAAAATCAACTATTAGTATTGATTCACGACAAGATCCTTTCGAGACATTTTCTAGAAGTTCTAATGCTTCTCCCGTGGAAGCACATTAGCTTCTATGGAATATCGTGGCAAAATGCTTGTTGAATGCTTGTTGACAGAACTTTTATGCAAGAAAGTTGTCGGATCATATTGAAATGGAGGGTGATGTGATCTTGCCATTCGCCTGGTCCTTATCATTCGTATCTTGGCAAGGTTGGGGTATGCGGAGAGGAAGACATGGGTTCCCTGTAAACTTGTCAGCATCCACACGGACTGGAGTCATTGGACAAGGCTCGAACATGTCGCTACGGAAACAGGACCTTCGATGCAGAATTCCAGAAGCTTACTTCATTCGATAAAGACAACAGCGGAATATCTGCAATAGTTACCACCTTTTAGTGTTACGTTTGACAGTGACTCTTGCTACGGCCCTTCTACCCCCTCTGGAGAGAGCTCTCGTGTTCTCTCCATCTGCTCACTGTAGTGAAACAAGCATCGCCTCCGGCCTGCGTTCAATCCAAGGTTGTGGCTTTCTCGATTTAGGAATAATTCCTCATACAGTACGACTTTCGTGTGGTCACACGGAGATTTTGTGCTCTTAGACTTTCTATTTGATCGGGTTGTTTCTGCGATAAGAAGTCTTGTGTCGCTAGCTGCTATTTTTTGACGTGATCAACCATTGATCCGAAGGATCTGTACGAAGTATACTTCAACTCTTCGAAAGCTAGACCTTTGCTGAAGCTTGATTAAGTTGTCAGCACACCATAAGAAGTAAGCCTGCAAGCTCCCGTCTCATTAGATTCTCTTGAAATTGCCCACCTAAGCATCGGACCCTTGAGCTAATGAAAGTACACTAAGCTCAATATAGTCTCCTGCAGGCTCGGTTATGGTTGTTGTTAAATCCGCCCTAGTCAGCTTATCAACTATCCCTAACAATGCCATTTGTATTTGGATGTACAATTGGTTAGATATAATCTCGTATCTCAAAAACTTAATAAGGTTAATGAATGGGGATATTGAATCTTTCATTTGCATTTTCGTCCCAGGTTGTATCGAATATGAGAAGTATTATCTCGGCTGCTCCTCTAAAGTGGCAGGTCAATCGGCGGGCTCTCCGAAAATGCAAGTTAGACCTAGAACGAAGCCTATCATCGTAGAAAGTGAGAGTCATCAAGTCCTTCCTTCGCATTGGAAGCCAAGTTAGCTGTCGTTACAGTCTTGTTGTTCCTGGGCGCTCTCACACATATATAAAACTTTATTAGTAAAACTTGGGCTTAACAGATGCCTATTTAACCCGTCTGCAGCAGTATGCTAAGTCAAACGTTGCAGGTGGCCATTCAAGGCATCAGCAAATGCTCTGCAACCTATACAGCTCGTACGACCTGCCGTAACAAGCCTACTGATATTGTGTTGAATGGTGTATTCAAACAATCCTTGTCGTTTACGACGAATTAAATTCCGCGCCAGTAAATCACATTGACCCTAGCGACTTTCTGCAAGAATCCTCGAATCCATGCACCCTGATAACGAAGGAAGATTCCCATCCAAATATTTTAAAATATGAATAGCGACTAATTCATATTCGAATCGAAGAGTGTATTATAGTTGACGGTGCCCCCGTTTCCAAATCCTGGTTATCGCTTTCGACCCTGACCAATCTGCGTGTTTGATTATCCATTCTGAATTTTCCCATCACATCTGATGGGCCGAGGAGCTGGAAATTGAAACAACTTGCAGCTGCAGAGGGTTTGCAATGGCGTTTTCGTACAGCAGGGTAGGTTGAACCGCCCAAGTATTAATTCAATAGTCGTGTCTCTTGGGTATCATTCACCTTCGATCGTTGTGCTTGTATAAAGTTGCTCGACCTCCCTCTTCTTTTGATTGCCTCTTTTCTTCCCTATTCCCTCCTCGTCAATATCGATCCATTTTCTCAACCACAACAATGGAGAAGGAACACTACAACGTCGACGAGTCCTCGTCGCCTGACTACCACGGAAATCATGCTCGTTCCCAATATGTAGATCCGTCTACCGGTCATGCAACAAAATCTGCTGGCTTGCAAGAAGCTGGTGAGCTCTATGGAAACATTGAGACTGCTGAAGAATATGGTTACGTTTCTCGAGGGTAAGGCTCACGTATAATCCAATAATTCATGACCAACGAAATCTAACTGTAACTTTACATGTAGACTGAAATCGAGACACATTCAATTTATTGCGCTTGGTGGTACCATTGGTACTGGTCTTTTCTTGGGTATTGGAAGTGCTCTTACACAAGCCGGTCCTCTCTCGTTGCTCTTGGGCTATAGTATCACTGGTATTGCCATCTTTGCCATGATGCAGTGCTTGGGTGAGATGGCTACATGGTTACCTCTACCTGGAGCCATCCCACAATTCGCTGCTCGTTATGTTGATGATGCGCTCGGATTTGCTGTCGGATGGAATGTAAGTTGATTCACTGACTCTCGTAAAGTCGTTATGGAACCTTGCTGCGGAGTGTTGAAATACACAAGTCTATGATCATACACTCGGGATCTGATTTCGTGAGCTTATGCTGACTTTGGTGATCAATTAGAACTGGTATTCTGCCGCGATTACCTTGTGTGCGGAAATCTCAGCTGCTGCAGTCGTCATTCAATACTGGCCAGGAGCAGTGCATATCAATGTCGCCGCATGGATCAGTTTAATTATCGTTCTTGTCATCTGCCTTAACATCTTCGCTGTGTCCATCTACGGAGAAGCCGAGTTTGTCTTCGCCAGTATCAAAATTATTACAATCGTGGGGCTTTTGATCATGGCATTCATTGTGGACCTCGGAGGAAACCCTAGGCATGATCGTCTTGGTTTCCGTTACTGGAAACACGGACAATTCATGTTGCAATACGACTCCACTGGAGACACAGGTCGATTCCTCGGTCTCTTCTCAACTCTCGTTAACGCCGCCTTCTCATATGGTGGTGTTGAGATGGTCGCTGTAGCCGCTGGTGAAGCCGAAAATCCACGCAAGAATATTCCAAAGGCTGTCCGCAGAGTTTTCTGGAGAATTTTGTTCTTTTATGTCCTTGGTTCATTGGCTATTGGTGTCCTTGTTTCCTCCAGCGATGAACATCTGCTCAAGGCTCAAGTTGAAGGTGCCGCAGGTGCTGCTCGATCTCCATGGGTTATTGGTATCCAAAACGCCGGTATTCCAGCATTGCCATCGATTATCAATGCAGTCATCTTAACCTCCGCCACTTCATCCGCCAATGCCTTTTTGTACACCGGATCTCGTTACTTGTTCGCCCTTGCCCAGAACAAGCAAGCCCCAAAATTCCTTCTCCGATGCAGCAAGGCAGGTGTTCCATACTGGGCTGTTTTGTGCACAGCTTTAATCTCGCTTATCACATTTTTGTCAGTCGGTTCCGGTGGCGCCTCAACCGCTTTTACGTGGTTCCAAAATTTGACCACCATTGCTTCCCTTTTCACCTGGTGCTCCATTTGCGTCGCGTACATCAAATTCCACAGCGCTTTGGTAGCCCAAGGTGTCGATAGAAACACTCTTGTCTTCAAGAGTAAATTCCAGCCATACACGGCCTGGATCGCTTTGGGTTTCTTCGTCATGATCATTCTCTTCAATGGATTTGATGTCTTTGTTGGCAAGAACCACTCTCACTGGAATGTTACCAGTAAGTATTTGTACTGAACTTTGTGAGACTCAACCTAACTTTTATAGATTTCCTCACCGCATACATCGGAATTCCGATCTTCTTTTTGCTTTACGGATTTTGGAAGGTTTTCAAGCGCACCAAGTGGATCTCATCAGCTGATGCCGATATCTACACTGGTAAGGCAGCCTTGGATGCAGAGGATGACCAATGGCCAGATTTGGTGCCAAGAAACATGTTGGAGAGGATCTGGTTCTGGATTGCGTAGAGGAGGATTCGTACGTGGTTTGCTTTACACTTCGTGTACTTTGTTTGATGGATCATATACCCATTTGGGCTGGGATCTCATTCGTTAAGGTCTAGCTACATACCCTAAAGATATCCTGGTAATTAAGGAAAACTTTCAGATTCAGATTTCTATTACCTGTGACGCGTGAGATGTCGGTTCTGTGGTGGCGCATGATTGATGAGGTTTGATAATGGAAAACGTTTCTGATCCGATAATGTATTTTGAGAGTCCAGTTCCCTTCATCGTTGTATCCATCAATCATTCCTCTCTGTCAAAATGTTAGAGAAGAAATGAATGATGGTATCGATTTCTTTGGTGTAAGAGAAGGGTGTGAGAAAGATCTCGCGTCAAGATGCGTGAAGAATTTACCAGCAGCAACTCAACATGGAGCAACATTATAATATCAACCTTCAAAAGTGTAGGTCAGAATAGTCCTCTTCCATTTTACCAGAAAACATACTTATGCTTTGGAGAAAAATCAGTCCAATTCCTCAATTATGCATAATCGTGCTGAGTGAGCCGTCAAGTGTTGGTGACTCTCCAGAAACTTTCATTTCGACATCCACAACTCCAAATTCAGATCATCAATTCAATTGAAACATCATCAATCATGAGTTCCCAGAAGAATCATATATTCAGAACATAGAAACTATCAACAGGAATAAAAACAAACAAGAAGATCTCTCATAGTCAAGAGAAAGAAGCAACTTCTTCCCAAAAGCTCATCTTAGTCATTCTCAGCATTTAGTGGGTCCCGGCAGGCGGCACGCCCTTCAACAACAACCAACTCCGCAATAATTCCCCATCCCCAATTTTTCTAAACAGGAAGTGGGTTTCTTTACATGATAGTTTCTCTTAGTGTAGGATTATGTGATGAACCATCAAGAATATATCCGGGAGAGGTTGAAATAAGGTTTAGAGGATGTGATGGATGTTTTTACCTAGGGATTGTAGATGTCAATCGAACCTTCCTTTATTTTTAACATACTTTCATTTACATTACATTCACAAAATATCAACGAAATGATTGCAATCAAAAAAGAATTCGAAACTTCGAACAGAAGGAGAAATTTTCTTGAACTGCTGGGATTTATTCTGTATCAACACTTTTTCTCATATCTAATATCTTCAAAAACAATATATACTATACCTTCATGGTATGCTGATCATGCACAAGCAGTCACATGGATAGAGCGATTCTTAATTATGGAATCACGCATAACGAGGGAAGATGCAAGATCTAAAGCCAAGCAATTTGCTGGGGCGGGAAGATTATTGTATGCAAAATCTTTGGACTCCTGGACACGATTTCTTGGAGATGAAGATATGGCAATCGATATCTATTACGCACTGCAGTCAATCATTCTGGATCCCAAAAAGCGAGAGAAGGCCGATATTCCGGTGAGTTGTGATACGAGCTGATATTGAAATCAGCTTATACTTACTATGATATATAGGAACTCATAAGTGTACGAATCACAGAGGACCGTGTAATTTTACTACATTCCCAGGTTCAGAGGCTATTATCTGTGATCCCAAAGGAGCTCAGCTTATTCCAAAAATTTCACCTAATACTGCCAGTATCATTGATCATCGCTATTTCATTAACAATCGACATCTTTTTGAATAAATATTGCTATACAGGAACTGGTACATTCTCAAACCTCTGGTTTTTTACTATACCAACAACCCTCACGATTGTACTTGTATGTGCATGGAAAACTCTCGACTACCCAATAACGACGCTCTGAAGATATACCAAGGCGCTTTGATGATCGTGGGGCAATTCTGCGCAGCACGTTGTTGGAATTGGAAGTGGAAGTCATGAGATGAGACAAAAATGATTAAGGGGCTGGTGAGGGATAGATGCTGGTATTGCATAGAGATACTGGGTCCATGTTGGCTTCTCATTGCTAGGTATGGGCATAGACACTTAAATGCTAAGACGAGATTAGGCGTTAAGACTTCTATGAGTCAGATGTAAATTCGAGGATAATGATATATCACAACGAATTGGGAACTCACAGTGCAAAAATCAAATCAACTCACATCAAACCAGATCAGAAATACGCCAATTCATGAGATCAACGCCTAGAATTCGGAACATCTATCTACCAAGTACCTACTATCGAGCTACCAAGCAATCTAGTGAATGGGTCATCCATTTCATTCCTCCGCCCCAAAAATACCAATACGAAAGAGAGGAGTTACGGACCCGCCAATTCCTGATACCTATTCGTAAGACTATCCATCAACTCGTCTAGAAACCCCAAAAAACACACCGGCAAACCAATAAGAAAGAGGGGAATCATTAAAAGTAAATAACCAATCCTGTCCAGTAATTCCCACCAAAAAGCTTACCATCAAGCCTATTCCGTCCCGTCTGAAACCCCAAAATATCTAAACGATAACGACTGAGGAACTCTCATCGCTATCCTCCTGACTAACAGTTTCCTGTTCCTGATCTACTTCTTCTTTCTTACTTTCTTCCTTGGTAACAACTTCGACCTCAACTTCCACTTCTACTTTGACGGTAGAGCCAGTAGTAGAATCCTCGACTTTGGTTTCGTCAATTTTCTCAGTCTCGGTTTCTACTTCCTGGACTGCAGTTGCGTATTTCGTTTCGTCACTCTCTATTTCAGTGGTCGGAGTTTCTTCGATTTTTCCCCTCGTTTCGTCACTCTCTAGCTCAGTGGTCGGAGTTTCTTCGATTTTTTCGCTTTCATCTTTCTTCTCCTCTTCCTTGCCCTTCCCTTTTCCCACTTCAACGATCGGATCTCCCTTCTCCACAATCGGACTATCCACCGCCCCCTCCACGGCCTGATCTGCCGCATCTGCCGCCGAATCATCCACGTCCAATTTCTTCTCTCCAATCTCCATTGAATCCTCTTCATCTTCCTCGTCACTACTAATCTCTTCTCCCATAATATCTCTCTTCTTCTTTTTCTTCTGTGGTTCTTCCCATTTCCTCTCCCTCTTGACCTGTACGGTCACAGCACTCTCCTTACTATAAACTCTGAGGCCCACTACCAAAACAGCATTCCAAGGATCCTTCTCGAACTCATCTTCTACATCATCCTCGCCTTTGGTTGGTGAAGGGGGAGGAGTTGCTTTAGCTTCTTTTTCAAGAACATCGTCTAGAACGCCGACGGTTATGTCGGAGATGTCGGAACAAATGGATTCAAGATCAGAGTCGTCATCGTCGACGATGGGGGATTTGGGTGGAATTGGAATTGATAGGTTTGTGAGAGTAGGCACTGATTGTGGGGTGACTGTAGTTGATTTGACATCAACATTTATGGCCTTGACTTGGATAACTTTGTCATCGCTTGAGTTAGTACCCGTCAACGTATTGGCTGATCCACTCGTGGATGTTGAGTTTCCAGGCGCCTCTGACGTGGGCTTAGATATTGTCGCCGGCTTCTCAGTCTCTGATGATTTATCAGATGAGACATCATTAGTAGAGATATTCTCGCCATCAATTTCGATGGATTTGACCTCCACAACCTTATCGTCGGTCTTTGAAGCTTCATCACTAGCATCCTTTGCAGTTCGCTCTGCAATGACCTTGGCAATATCTTCAGCTGCCTTTTTGGCCTCTTCCTCCACAGCCTTTAAAGCTGCTTCTTTAGCTGCCTTCTTGGCTTTCTTAGTCTTTGCTTTTGCCATACGCTTAATTTTCTTTTCTTGAAGTTTTCGCTTTTCTTTATTGTCATTATGAACCCTCTTCTTCTTTTCCTTCATCAATCGCTCCTTAACTTCCTTTCTCGCCTTTTCCTTTCTCTTCTCCTCGGCTTCCTTTCTAGCTTTCTTTTCCTCGGGAGTCTCTCTGACAACTCCCTTAGCATGAGCTAGATCGTAAGATAGACCAATTCGAGAAAGCTTATCACGACGTTTTTTCGCATTGTTGCGAACAACATCTTCGACTGGTAAAGAACTACCATCTTTGAAAGCTTTGACTTTCATCAAGACGTCATATTCGCCGGCTGGAAGTTCCAACTCGGCGGTAACAGATCGACGCATCCAGTAGTTACCATGACTTCGAACTATGTAATCTTCTTCGCCAGCTTTGTGGATACGGAAAGACAATTCAAATCGGTATTGTCCTTCGAGTCCACAGAAGTAGCGGCCATCGAGTTGAGAGAGAACAATCATGACAGGCGCTGCGTTATCGAGAGTAAAAGAGAATTTTGTATCATGATAATTGACAGTCCATGGAACTTCCATAGACGCCCATGACTGAGTAACCTTCCATTCATCGGTGAATAATCTTGTACGATCAAATGTTTGAAACTTTTTGAGAAGATCATCATAAGACATCCAGAATGAACCATCATCTCCGAAGCGATGCTCGAGTTTTTTCATCCATTCTGGTGTCCATTCTTTGCTTCCATCACCTATCACAAGTTAATAAAAACATAATTTACATGACTGAGAAATTCAACTTACTCCATGCACCCTTCCATTCACCCTCGCCCCAGGGATTCCTCAACAAAACAAGTCGTTGGCCATCAATCTCCACAGCTCGTAGGATCGAATATGCATGACCCTCATAGATACCTTTTCTATTACCACGGCCCCAGAAGATACCGGCAGCACAACCAAAAAGAAAGTCTTTATTGACCTTGAGCAATTCTTCTTTCCAGAAATATTCCTTATCGAGAATGTCTGTGCTGAAAACTTCGGTTGTGACACCACCAGTAAGATCCTCGAGTCCTTCACCAGTATGACCTCCTTCTATAGCTGCGTAATCCTACTTCATGTCAGTGTACGATTTATAAATTCTTGATGGATTGAATTACTCCATGAGCTTTTGCATATGCCTTCTCAAGCAACGGCAACCAAGTTTCGTTTGGATCTTCACACTGCGCGAAATACAATGCACCAGAGTTGCTCTGATAAATCTTGCGGTAATCCTCTTCGGAGTTGATACGCTGGCGATCTTCGATGAGATTACGTTCAATCCAACTTTCATCGTAATCAGGTTTCGTTAAATAAAGTTTGTCATCAATAATTTCTGATCTCCACTCTCCATCACGATGGAAAACGAAGCCATAAACACCAATCTCCTCATCTCTGGCAACACAGACTTTTTCAATCAAGCCAGGCTTATTTCCCAATGTGCAGAGAGCTGCCATGAACCAACAATCACCATCACGGCCTTGTCTGATATCATTTGCGCTTGCTTGGTTGACGTAGAATTGAGGATTGTCAAATATGTCCCCGACTCTTTTGACAGACCCAGGACGGAATGTAGGTGTTAACCTTTCACTCGTGTTCTCTAGCATTTGAAGGCAATCGCCTTTGCCCCATTTCAGATCAAACTCGATATCGAAATGTGGATCGCGATACTTTTGGTTTACTCGACGACATTCTTTGACAATCTTTGCAACCTTTGCTTTGCAAAGTGCTGCCGCTTCCTCATATGATGCAACGGCATTTTTGCCTTTTGTGACTGGTTTGGATGCCCTCTGACCGGCTTTTGTTGTGTAAAGGTTCTTAGGCAAGACAGTAGAGGCTAACAACGCAAATCAGTATGTGTGCTAGGGATTTGAGAGTGGATGCTTCACAACGTACCTTTTCCTGGCGTCTTGCTCTTAAATTTGGCCCAGAATTCGTCTATGGCATCTTGAGGGGATATGTGCTTGGTCTTCTTCACATCTGGTGCTGGAACGAAAACGATATTTCCTCCTGGTCCTTGTTTGAGAACCATTTGAGACTCATCGTCGGAAGAATCATCATCGCTAGAGCCACAGGAAGGGGGTGGAGGGGGTAAAGGTGAAGCCATCTTGTTGAATCTCTTGTTGAGCTTTCCCAGCCCTGGGGATGGTGGTACAGACATATTTAAGCTCCCAAGATCAACTACTTACTGATTGTACGATACTTTTATACAACTGATGGGCTCGTTCGATATTCAGGGGCTCGTTCGATTGAAGATACAGTGAATAATGAAGATAAAACGATTTACAAAATCTTAACAACGAGATGAGACGATGAAAAAGAAATCGAAAAATAACAGAGTCAAAGGCAGAACTTCCTTATATCATGTTATAGAGTCTCATCAACCCCACCTGGAATCCGAACTGCCCAACCGCTGTTGGCGCTTACCTCCCATGTTCAGCGGCTGAGGATTCTCTGGGTCTCACAGCGCGACAATGACTGATTGAATTTTACGTAGCCCAATGATACCAATCATCTCTGAATATATTGCATGGTGTATCGGTGGGCATACAATGATTGTGATAAGATGTCCAATCTGTGAAGAGTGGCTGATGTCGGCACTCGTCCGAGGTTGAGCAAAAGGCCAGGATTACTTGGACACAAGACTAATCATTGTAAGCACAAAGCCTCATTGCCTCACCGAGTATTCGGAGGCCTAAAACGAATTCCAATATTTGGATAAATGGAAGTTGATGGCCTAGTACTGCCACAATGTATGACTCTTATGGCAAAATAGAATAAGAGGATATACTTTTGATGATGTAGGTACATCA